CGCTTCACCACAATTCGGACGTTTCTTTCGCAACAAACGGCTAGGGCGGAGGTGCCTAGTGCTTTCGCACATGTTACATTTACGGATTTTACTGTTCTGCTTTGAAGCTCAAAGCTCAGCTTCTTCCCCTTCAGCATGGCTGAGTCCCATGGGCTCCGCCCTATTAGAGGCATTTGAATTATACCATGGCAAAACATAGCAAGCAGGTTTGAGTTTGAGTTATCGTTAAACGCTATGCTCACTTCCTCTTCGAAAGTCGAAGGCTGAACACGAAAACTTCTGTCCTGGCTACCCCAGTACAAATTTCTTCCATGAAAACGGCTATTTGGATTTTTCTGCCATACGCCTGCTGCATAGCGGCAATGAGAGTTCTCAACTCTTTGAGTAGCATTGCCTCATAATGCATAAAGGCCTCAAGGCGAGCATTGAGGATCTCCAGGCCCTGGGACAAAAGGCCTCGATTTGATCGGGCCCGACGAACGCAGATAATTTATCTAGAGCGAATCTTTGCGCCTTAGATAGGTAATTTTGACTCTCCATCCTCACAGAGGGTCAGTCTTGAAGGCTTAAGTGTAAAATTGACTACAAGTGCTACCAAGTGTAGCGTAGCTGCACAGCTATTAAGTCAGAGGAAAACGTTCTAGGCTGAAAGCCTCTTAGTTCTATAGAGCTAGATAAAGGTTGACGGCTGAAAGCCACTTAGTTTCAAGGAACTAAGTAATTGACTACGAAGTCACCCTGTTATAAGGAACTAGGAGGGACTTCTAGGCTATACACAATAAGCTTAAGATTTCATAGAACCGACGCACAAAGTGCAAGAACAAGCCAGGGGCTTAAATTGTGTAGAATCCCAACGCACGGAGTGCAAGAACAAGTTAGGGGCTTTATTGTGTATAGAACTAACGCACGAAGTACACAAGAAAACAAGTCTTAGAGAGACTTAAAATCTGTAACTCAAAATGAAAACTGATTTTATTTATGCAGTAAGATTATCTTGAATAAATTCTACTTTAAGTACTTTACACTAAATTAATTACAGTTATAGTAATTGTAGTATGCCATCGTCTGTTAGTTGATTGTGGAATCATCCAATTATCAGTGTATGTTGTACTTAGTACCACTGTATCAGTTATGCAACTGATACCGATAGTATAAGGTATTACTGATACCTTATAATATCACTCATCTATAGTACCCCTTTTTAAAAGGATCGGTATAAAGAATACATTATATGCATATAGAGCTTCAACCGTAATATACTATCGGTATGATGTTACAACCGTTGTGTAACCCCGTTACAATCTTGCTATATAAGTTTGTTGAATCTTGCTCGAAAAATGTGCAACCTCATATTTAGTTGCAATTTGGGTGGTCTCATCAACAATCATCCGACTATCTTCGTTAATAATGACCGACGTTTATGGCGATAACAATGATGGAAATATAAACGCTTGTCCAGTTCCGTAATGGACAACTGCTTGTGACAGCAAGACCTGGAATCGAGAGACATACTCTACAATAGATCCGCTTCTCAGAATCTCGATATTAAAGCGTTCACGCAGTTATTGTGAAATAACGATCAACTAGAACTGACGATCCTACAACAGCGAACACGAAACACGGCGCTTGTATTCACAGCGCATCCGCAACTACATAAATTCCCATGGAGCTTCCCAATTTCCATTAACAACATGCACGCTTTCAAAACGCTACTGTGGTGCAGCGGGATTCACAAAAATTCTGATGTGATCCCGATTCTACACTGGCGCCCAGACAACCGAATATCGGAGGAAGTACACCGTTTACGTGTATAGCAATTTCTTCCTCACCTTGTATCCCTCCGGTAGGGCGGGTAGCACTCTTCTCGGTGGACTTGAGTTGAAACTAAACTTGACCGTGGTTGGGATTGGTTGGAGGCATCGATCGCGCGGAAATCTTCACGCGATTGAGAATTACTTGGGGGAACTCTATATAAGTCGCCTTGATCTCTCTTGAGATCGCCTTGTCCAAAATTATAGACACTTGATCCACTTGATCCAATTGACCTTCTGACCACTTGAGCCGTCTCGCAACCTTGTATCTTCTCCTTTACGTTATACTGCGTCCAATCGCAGGCGGAGTATGCTTGTTGTGAGAGTTCTTGTAATTCCTGGCCAAACAATCCAGGAATATTGCTTGTACGTAGGGTGTCAGAAGCTCTTGATCGTCGAGGGGCCAGGATATCCCACCCGGAGAAGTCTGCGTGCGTAGTCAGAAGTAAAAGAAACTCTGTTTAATGTTAACCAATTAAATATCAAAACCTATGATCTTGCTTATCTGTAGCTCAGGATTTATTGCCACGTATCGCCCTTTTGGAAAAATCAGATTGTAATGTGGTCCACTCCAATATCGCCGCGATCTGGATCGCTACCTCGATCGAATCTAATACCATTTTTGTATCGGATCGCGGTACTAATAAAAAAAATTGGATCGCGGTACTTATTTTAGTACTGGATCGCGATACTAATAATTAGTATCGGATCGCGGTCCGCCGGATCACGACTTGTCCTCTTCACCGTTCCTCGGGTCATGTGAGATGGTCCATCTATATGACATGTCATGTCCACCTCATTCCAGTCTTCCAAAGCAACGTAATCCACACCAGACCGTCTTCCACATACTTAGATTTACTAATCCTCCTTCTTAGCGATCGCGTTCACGCGGATCGCCATCGAAAAATACCGGAGATCGCAGTTGCGTAGTTCTAGGCCATAGTTGATTCAACATAGAACTACGAGAACCACCTTTGTCATTCCATTTGTGACGTCTCGAAATTGCTTTTGCTGGATCGCGATTCAAAAAAATTGACCATTTCGGACTTAACCGAAAAAATGCGATCACGCTTTGCCAAATTCACTCTTTCGCTTCACCACAATTCGGACGTTTCTTTCGCAACAAACGGCTAGGGCGGAGGTGCCTAGTGCTTTCGCACATGTTACATTTACGGATTTTACTGTTCTGCTTTGAAGCTCAAAGCTCAGCTTCTTCCCCTTCAGCATGGCTGAGTCCCATGGGCTCCGCCCTATTAGAGGCATTTGAATTATACCATGGCAAAACATAGCAAGCAGGTTTGAGTTTGAGTTTGAGTTATCGTTAAACGCTATGCTCACTTCCTCTTCGAAAGTCGAAGGCTGAACACGAAAACTTCTGTCCTGGCTACCCCAGTACAAATTTCTTCCATGAAAACGGCTATTTGGATTTTTCTGCCATACGCCTGCTGCATAGCGGCAATGAGAGTTCTCAACTCTTTGACATAGTCCGACAGACTTTCTTACCCTGTCGGAAAGCTAAGAAGCGTGAGCGCACATTATTAACCTGTTTAGGCGGTGCAAACACGCAAGCTAATTGATTTCTAGGCAGTTCCCATGTGGGAAATGCGGCATTTACAGAGACATCGATCGTTAGAGGCCACTCTCAAGCTCTTCCACCGAGCTTAGAAATTGCAAGCCAACTCGTTGATTTGCTGACACGAGCATGACGGCATTCATTGCCATTTCAACTTCTCGGATCCAGAGGAGAAGATTTTCTCCCTCCTTCCCCTCGAAGGTCTTTACGTTTAAAACGAGTGGGCAAGCCTTTGGCTCTGAATCGGGCACAGGTACCGGGATGTACTGTGTAGGCACAGCTGACGCTGCCTGATCATGGACCTGCCCGAGTAGCATTGCCTCATAATGCATAAAGGCCTCAAGGCGAGCATTGAGGATCTCCAGGCCCTGGGACAAAAGGCCTCGATTTGATCGGGCCCGACGAACGCAGATAATTTATCTAGAGCGAATCTTTGCGCCTTAGATAGGTAATTTTGACTCTCCATCCTCACAGAGGGTCAGTCTTGAAGGCTTAAGTGTAAAATTGACTACAAGTGCTACCAAGTGTAGCGTAGCTGCACAGCTATTAAGTCAGAGGAAAACGTTTTAGGCTGAAAGCCTCTTAGTTCTATAGAGCTAGATAAAGGTTGACGGCTGAAAGCCACTTAGTTTCAAGGAACTAAGTAATTGACTACGAAGTCACCCTGTTATAAGGAACTAGGAGGGACTTCTAGGCTATACACAATAAGCTTAAGATTTCATAGAACCGACGCACAAAGTGCAAGAACAAGCCAGGGGCTTAAATTGTGTAGAATCCCAACGCACGGAGTGCAAGAACAAGTTAGGGGCTTTATTGTGTATAGAACTAACGCACGAAGTACACAAGAAAACAAGTCTTAGAGAGACTTGAAATCTGTAACTCAAAATGAAAACTGATTTTATTTATGCAGTAAGATTATCTTGAATAAATTCTACTTTAAGTACTTTACACTAAATTAATTACAGTTATAGTAATTGTAGTATGCCATCGTCTGTTAGTTGATTGTGGAATCATCCAATTATCAGTGTATGTTGTACTTAGTACCACTGTATCAGTTATGCAACTGATACCGATAGTATAAGGTATTACTGATACCTTATAATATCACTCATCTATAGTACCCCTTTTTAAAAGGATCGGTATAAAGAATACATTATATGCATATAGAGCTTCAACCGTAATATACTATCGGTATGATGTTACAACCGTCGTGTAACCCCGTTACACACACACTAACGAACTGTAGGCATATAGCCTGTTACAGTAGCCAAGATGTTAAGACTACAAGATCGATTGAGTGATCAGGAAATCACGGGTCGAGGATAGCACCTAAGACGATTGTTCGTGTGCCAGGAATCGTTGCATACAACACGTTATATGTATACGAATGTTAGAGCCATATATAATAAGCTGAAAATACACAGTGCACTTAATCGTTGGTAGCAAGTGTTCTGCAATAATTGCACTGTAATATAAAGGATCTGACATTACGTTCTGCCTATCTTCATGTACCTATATGACATGCATGTAACTATATGACACGTTTAATTCATACTGTACTTTGTGTAATTACTCGCTGGATGAATAAGCGCCGAAAACATGTGGGAAGGTGGTTACTATTCACTGTCCAGGGATGAGGTGGATTCTAGGTAACTCTTCTTCTTCTTCGTGTCGCCGAATGTCTTGTCCAACCAATTTACAAATTTCTGCAAGACACCCTTGCCTTCAAATCTTGTGTTCGTGGCCACCGGACCTTGTGGTTCTGTTGAGGTGACGGGGTTATTGGACACGGCATATCCACCGATATGTGCTCCTCCTCCATTTCGCTCTTCCTTCCTTGTGGGGACGCCAGTCCAAGCTTGAGATCCTCTTAGGTTGGTAAAGTCAATAACCGGAGGACTCTTACTCTCGGCCCCGTCGTTGTCGGTAGTAACGAAGCTATTGGTAGTTTTGAGCAAAAGGACCAAGATCACAAGTAGAATTTGGACGAGCTGCATCCTTTTTGAAAAGGGTTGTCGTCTTAGTGGATGGTTGTAAGTTGTAAACTGATGACGTCTTAGCAGCGTCTGCATGCTGTTCATCACATAGACAGCGCTCAGCTAACAAGGACACTGCCATGATGGCGATTGGTTTTCGAACAAAGAAACAGCTTTAGTGTCCTTGTGATGGCAGACTCTGGACAACGTACAAATCCTAGTGCACAGGCCCTTCGAAAATTCTGACTCCAACACAGGTACAAAGTCCTGGGTAGCAAGTACATAGAGAATGGTGCACGTAACACGAGCATCAGCCCGCATCGACCGAGCGTAAAACACATCGTATCGCCGTCGTTCGAGCGTTATCCCGATGTGATCCATGAACTCGGCTGCACATTACGGCCAGACATCGCGCAAACGGCGGTAATCCTAGCACGAGTACAAGAACATCTACCGAACCTTCGGTCATCATCGACCAGTTGGTGGGAGGAAAATGACTGGATTTTGCACCTCTCCGAGCCCCTTCCATGGCGGCCTCAAGGGGATGAGATTTGGCCTCAGGAGATAAACGATTTTTGGCAGACTTTTCAGTGGAGTGGTAATCCTTGGATTCTCTCACCGCAGGCGCTCGAGCTGTCCCGATCCAAATATAACAGAATTCGTGATGTATCCCTCGAACAACTCCACATCCAGCGGACAGGCCCCCAAGAATACGTCTTCAGCGGCATTGGCACGGATGTCCATGACCCCCGCCATTCGCATGCGAAACTTCGAGAATGGGCGATCATAATTTTACTTTCGTCGCCGCCACTAGACGTGGGAAATCCGGTAGGGTGCCTAAGCCCATTGCGGCTAAGGCAACAGCTACCATTCACGCAAGCCATCTCATGGGTGCTGATCGGGCCAGGCAAGGTTCGAGGCGTTTCACTCTCTGATGAATCTGATCGCCCTCAGAGTTGGGAGCTCACTCAATGCCACGATGGCATAACTTGGGTTTTCGACGGCGCTCCGCCGCTAGTAAAAGGGAAATCGCAGGAACTCACCCAACAAGCGGAGAGCAAGCTCAGCCGACATGGGGTTGTCTTTTTTCCAACCCACAGATCCACCACTATCCGTGGTCCGCACCGCCTACGGTCCCCAACCATCGACTATTCACTTTTTTGAAAAAACAAGCTTTTCAGGCGACAAAGCGCGGTCTCGCAGCACCGCTGAAGCAGGTCATCGATCGGCTAGCCGCCAAGAGCCAGAATACGCGGTGGCAATGCACAGCTTTAAATGTCACGCCGGCTCAGCTATGGGATCACGGCCATGCGGTAACGGAATACCAGCTATGGACACGATATCGACACGCTACCGGACAGCTAAACTTTTGGTACCAAAACCGACCCCCGGACGGATCATGCACATATTTGGAATGTGTAGGCCAAAAGGAAACCCAGGAGCATCTCTTTTGGGGATGTCCCCGCGCTCAGGCAATCTGGGCCCGGCTTATCAGTCATTGGGAGAGTACACCTCACCATCCTACCCACCTCCTGGATTGGCTCGAACACTGCGCAAACTGTAGCGTACCACGCATCTCGCCGCAGGTCACAGCAAAGCTGTTAGCCCAGTACCCGGAAGACATTGATCTATTCGCCACAGCCTGGAGGACGATTTGGGAAGTCGCAGTGACCGTCATTATCACAATGCTCTGGCAACTTCGCGTGGATAGGATTATTAACAATGCGCTTATTCCGATACAAGCCAGTGAACTTTGATCTGGAATAGGATTCAGCTCCAACTGAGGGCGCTCATCAAACGTCTCCATTGCAGGGCGGCCACAGCCGTCCGTGGAGCCCAACTATCTGCATGTTACGACATATTTATATCAGAACCGAGAGGGCAGTCCGGCGTTCATAGACGTGCTGCCAGTCGTAGGCAATTCCTGGACCCTCCAGCGTTGCTAGTGTGGTTAACTACCTACCAGAGATCTTGCACTAATGAGTAAATAGACAATCTGTTCTCTCTAAAAAGTACATAGAGAACGAGAAGTATATGGCAGATGTTGATTAGATCCTATAAAGCCCTACAAATGTTCGATTGGAAGAAACAACCTAGAAAGTTTTTCTGTAGACCTTTTATTTCTGAGCCCCAACAGCTGCTAGTGGTACGTACTTGTCATGTTGGCCAACGCTTAAGCGTCCAAAACTTCATTGCAGAGATCAGCGAGCTGTAGCTCGGTTTACGATACACTCCAACTGATCAACCTTGGTCTTGACTTGATCCCAGACAAAATGAATATGGTATCTCAATGTGCTTAGCACGTCTTTACTATCCAGCAATTTTGCGACAGTAATTGCACTCCGGTTGTCTTCGTGCACAATGACCGAAGTTTTTCCTAAAAAGCTTCAAAACTCTAGTCGAGGACTTTGCAATCTATGGCGCAGTCTTGTAGTAACCTTTACAGTCGGTCCCCAAAAACGAACAATGTAAAATGGCGTCATCTACTGCTCAGAATACAGAAAAGTCTGCTACACGCTCTGGGTGACGTGCTGACATCTAGGCTAATTAATGTAGTCCTTGGTATTCTCAACCAGCCTAAGTCAACGGGTCACGTTGTTACCTCCTTGGACATCAGAAGATCTGTTTTCAACCTGCTGCGCTGTATATTGCGCTTAGATTGGTTAGTGACTGCAGCAAAAAGACCTTGACGTCGCTCTTACTCGTGGTAAAAAGAATACGACCATCAGACAAACAATACGATCAGCAAAACCCCATGTGTTTTTACCAGACAGCGTATAAACGATGCCGAGAGAGAGACGGCAGTACTTGTTCCTCACCACATTCCGAGCGTTATCGTAGTTTATGCTGCATTTCGCGGCAGTACTTTTGCTTTTGACTTTCGTCTTGTACAAACATGGCAAATAGATATCTTTCTTGTGCACATTGCTCTATGATCTATTCTCCAAATACAGCAGATAGTTGACCTGTTGCTTGTAGCCCGATCCACGCAACACCGACGATCAACGAGAAAAACGCAGATAAAATGCCGATCCGGAACTCCATCACCGACGAGTTACTACCTAGACGACCGGTGATTTCACCGTAAAAAGCCGCAAAGACGCCCATGATAAAGATCGAAGTTACGCAGAAAGAAGCGAGATACGCTACAGATCTGACCCAGTCATTCAGCACAACGGCGGGTAGCACACCAAGGATTCCACCAGGTCCAGCAAAACCGTGTATAATTCCTACAAGGAGAGCTGTGATCTGCATGAATCAATATTAGCATTGCCATACGATGCAGTGGCAAGCAGCAGCTACAGACCTTTTGTGTGACCGGGTTCTCAAAGTTGATATTTTGGCAGCAAGTGAGGCATAACTTGGGCTTGGCCGCAGCTTGAGACGATTCATCGTCCTCTCTAATCATCAAATGAAACGACAAAGATGGTGTAGCTGACGTCTCGCGACCCGCAACATATTCGTTTGTCGGAGACATCATCGTCTGCTGTAAAGCATGTTTGGGAGACGTAGGACTCGATACTATCTTCTGTGACAGTGGTACCAAATTGGTTGGTGTGTTGCACGTGCTATGTTGACTAGCATGACTGCTATCAACACGAACTTCTCCTTCATTCACTAGTGAATGGGCCTTTTGTTTTTGTTGTATCTGGTATTTTTTTCGGACATGAACTCCCGTCCACAAACCCAACGCGATCATGAAAAATCCCACAATGTAATTAAGATATCCACCCACAGCTTTCAAATCCACTGTCTGTCCAGCGGCGAAGAAAACAAGTGCCATAAAAATGAGACCAATCGAATGACCACAACCCCATCGAATGCCTAAAGCAAATGCTCGCCACGATGATCCTGTTGTCATGGCAGCCAATGCACTCAAATGATCCGGACCTACATGATCATTTTTGAGAATATATTAGTTTTTACGCCAACGATTACATCACAAAGACTAACAAAAATTGGTCAGTACCTGTCAAAACATGAACAATGCCTAGTAACAATCCTGTGGATATGATTTTGCCCAAAGAGGCCTCCGCCAGGCTACTCTGTTCCTCGCTCAACCATCGATTAGCAGTTTCCATTGCTGCACTTGTTATTCTATAATTCTATTACAAGGCTCAAATGTTGTCTACTCCAAGCTGAACGTCCTACGTATCTATGTGTAGGAGAAAGTGAGACTGACGTGGCTCGACTTGAATGGTAGTGATAGACTTTGCCTGAATGTGACAGACACATACGATTGAGCTCATAAAAGTTCCAGATTAGAAGGCATTTTACAAATGATTGGTACTTCACGTAACCAGCCAATCGAATGGTGGCAGTGCATCAAAATGCAGCATCCAAACGAGGTTGGTGAATTAAAAAGGGGTCCAGTGTGACTACACTTGCAGTCGACCGTCAGTTATTATTTGACGAAGGCAATAACATTACAGAGACAGATGGATAGACAAAGTTATTTGAGTCATGGATGCCTTATTTATTACTTTAGCTTTGATTTTCACACAAAAAGTGATAGGTGATACGAGTGGAATGTAAAAGTATTGATTTATGGACATGCAGTCAGCCTAAACTCGTTTCTACTAACTGCAATGGATTATTCAAAGCTTGTTACAGGCTGTACTTAGGACTTTCATTGTAGCATTTACGCTACTGTTGCTTTGTCATCCCTATCAATAGTTGTAGGGAGTGCATGGATTTGTGCTGCACGCTACTGTGTGCTAAGCGAGTAAGTCGCACACACATCTACAGATTAGCAGCAACGCACTCGACAATGAAGCTTTACTATTTGTCTTCATTAGATAGCGCCGTCACTCGTTAATCATCAAGCCAAAGCAATTGACTGTCACTCAAAGCCCATTCCTTAGCTTTCCACTATTCCTTTTTTCTACCCGAAGACCTCGTCCAAAGTGCCTGTCGAGACGAGAATGACCCACATGATGCCCACAAACAGCGACACACAAGATGAAAAGATACCGACGCGCACGAGCGATGAGTCCGAGAAGCGGCTCATACGGCCCGTGATTTCTCCGTACAATGCCGCGAATCCACCCATAGTAAGGATGGAGGACAGACAGAACGCGCCAAGATAAGCAGACGACTTGATCCAGTCATTGAGAATCACAGCTGGTAGCACTCCCAAGATACCTCCTGTACCCGCCAGTCCATGAGCTGTACCGTATGCAAAAGCCGTAAGTTTCTGTGTACTTGGATTCTTGATATCCGCCTTAATGAGTCCAAAACAGCAGGTTTTGACCGTCTGTTCGTCAGAAGACGGTGGTGGACCTTGATGGTCCAGATGGTGCAGCTGTACTATCTTTTGCACTTCTATATCGCTGTAACTGTTCCGTCTCATCTCCTCTTCATCTTGCAGCGGGCACGTCTCTTGGTTTTGCTTGAGCTGAAGTGTCCGACGCAGCAGCCAGTAGTAACGAAGACTCCAGAGCCCCAGTCCCATCATAAGGAAGCCGACCATAAAGTCACAGTAACTGCCAAATTTGTTCACGTCCAAGTGCTGGTTAAGCAGCAGAAAACACGCCGTTACGACGACAAGTCCCGTCGAATGGCCACAACCCCAGCGCATACCCAATTGACACGAGCGCCAAGACGATCCAGCACTCAGCACAATGAGCGCGCTCAAGTGGTCAGGACCCGTGAGCACGTGCACTAGACCTAGCAGTAAACCCGTGGCCATGAGACCAAGCAAAGACGCACTCTGCAGTGAGGTGATAGTATCTGTGGTGCTCATAGTAATGACCGAATGATAGAGGAAGTAGTTTTATCATGCAATGTATCGGTTTACAGAGGATTGAACTACCATATGTTATTGAAGAATGAAGATAGATGTGACAAATGTAACCGTCCATCGATTAATTGTCGTATAAATAAGAGGATACACATGATCAAGTCCTTGACTCCTCTATTCTGTAATCTTCTATAATGAACAAGCTTGTTTACTCCGTCTTGGCCTTGGCTACCTTGCTCACATAAGGGAAGCTAGAGTAAATAATTATACTCGTTGCGACAAGACCTGCAGCAATGAACACTTTATCAGGTAGTACAGCACCATATACGTAACTCTCTACAAAGGCCGTAAAGGCGATTCCACAGATCAGTGCAAACGACTTGAGCACGCCGCCGACGTATTTAGTGACTGTACCAACTAGCAGACCACCCATGGCATTGCTCACCACAGGGATGAGCGTGTAATAGTCACAGCCTTCAAAAATTCTGTCGAAGTTGGCCAAACTATTGTCAGTGGGCGACTCGGACGTGGGTGTCTTGACGATAGTGGACCAAATGGTCGGTATCATGAGGAACAAGCTGCCGTACACTGACAGCTCCATGGTCACGAGTGCAGAATCACGTTTGTGTTGCTGCATGGAGCGTTGAGTAAGCGCCGATCCAAGGCCTGACAGCAGCGAGGCGAGCAGTACGGGTACAAGACCGAGCTCCACGGAGATGGCGGCTGAATCGTCAGTACCGGTGTCCTTGGCGAGCGACAATAAGACAGCAGCGCTCAGTAGCAGCAGCATAGCAAAGCACTGCTGAAGAGAGAAGCGTGTGTCCATGAGAAAGTAGAGGAACAACGCAGCCGACAGGAGTTTCGTCTGATTAATGAGATTGAACACGATGGATGGCAGGTACTGATAGGCCGTTTGCATGAGCACGTTTTGTATGGCGTAAGTACATGCAGGCAATCCCGAGGCTATGAGGCTATCATACAGACTCCATGTCTTGACAATACGGCCCAATCCACCCGAATACACAAGCGATAGCAGCGACATTAGCAGTTTGCACACCTCGCAGGCGATGACGAGTACTGAATGGTTCTTCGTTTCGCTTGCAAATTCCTTGTATAGAATAGGCTGTAGACCAAACTGCATGGCAAGTAACACCATAGCCACGTAGCCAATCCACATACTTGACGATGTGATGCGGGAAGTCCTGTAGGAAGTCATTTGGTGGTCGTCAAACGGATCAAATGAGCTCGTCGCAGATAAATAGGTACACGAGGAGCAATTGGGTAAAAAAAACGTAAAAAATGCATGCTTCTCGTATGATAGTAGTATTTAATAGTATTCCTACTATATTATTGTGTTTAGTTAACAGCCTCGGAATCATAGAATTTTTTACAAACTGCCTTACAAAGCCAATGGGTAGTAGTAATACTGCCACAAATATGAATAATAATGTCAGTTAAAGTATAAATAGCAAATACGAGCAGCCAAGTATTACTGCTCGTATTTATTATTTATACTCTAACTCATATTATTATTCATATTTGTGGCAAGACAATATATCACGTTTCGCTAGCTGCGTCGACGAAATAGACCCAGCCACTTATTTTCAGTATACTAGCTGCTGTAATTGGACTCTTACACGGTCTACAAGCAACGAGAGCATTAGAATTTGCTACTGAGGCCGATGTAAGTATCAGGCAGCAGGCTCATTGCAGCCACTCTGACGCTGAATTAAGTGCGGACGCACCGTCTGCGCTGCATTGTATCATAATACTGTAGCTGCACATCTTGTTGCAGTTGCCATGTATCGTTCTCTCAGTGGGCGACCGTTGTATGCAACGCATGAAAAGAGAACGCCATGCCTTGGAGAATGCAATGTGCACCATTATTCGCTTTCTGAATGAGGAGACTAAACTTGCGGTCGCTTCTCAATATCTTTGGTAAAAAAGCAGTGCTTGCACTCGCGGTACCACAGATGCTTTTGCAATATATCAAAGTAATGTTCGCGACATGTAGAGACAATTTGTTGGCGTGTTTTGGTCGATCTTTGCCAACAACTGGAAGCAGAATCAGCATCCATGTGTTGGATATCCAAGCTGCGGTCTTAGCCTGCTGACATTGAAGATGGACAGCAGTGATTCGTCCCACTATCAATATGGCAGGTGACAGATGTAGCGTCGTTTCATCACGTTTTCATTAGCTTACACTTGACAAAAGACCTTGTGCATGGCACCGGAAGTGAACTATTACTATAAAACGTGTCCAACGTGTCCAACGTGTCCTTTAGTGGACGAAATTTCTGAATTTTTTACTGATTAATTTGGCTACACACGACGAGCTCACACCTGTCCAAGTCGATCGTAAGTACTCATCGAGTTCCGCGGGCTCTTCAGTATACGTGTACCACAAAATGTACTCATATCAGTGGCAAAAAGCAATGGACGCCATCTTGTCCCGAGTCGGCATAAGCGACGATGAGCTACGGCAGCATTGTGTGACGACGGTTCTGGAAGAGCTACAGCACACAAACAAACACGTTCAAGATGTTGTTTCCTCGCTTAAGAAAGTGTTGCAAGTCGTACAGGCGTCTCGGGAGTTGCAGAAATCGCTGGTTTTATCGTCGTTGGACCAGGTACAAACGTCTTTTCGTCAATTAGGCGAATCGTGCAACGAAATCGGCCCGTTGCTTCGGCTATTGTATCGTAATTCGAGTGCAATAGCCTCGACAGCATTGGAGCAGCCAGTGACATGCAATACCAATGGTACCGCCCAGCCCAAGACCAAGCTAGCAGTGGCGAACCCTTCGTCCACCTCTGCTAGTGAGTACGCGCCTTCGTCTGATGAAGAGGACGATACAGAGCCAGAAGTAATCGAAGTGGAGCCTCCAGAGAAACGGAAAAAGCGCAAAGCGGCGACGTTGGACTTGTCGGCATCACCGACGCCAGTCGTAAAGCGGAAGACGGTGGAGGAAGACAGTCAAACTCTACAAAAAATGCTGACAGAAAAGCTTCAGAGTATTCAAGCGATTCCAGTGGCTGATTACATGATTTTTACTCATGAGGAGATGACGAGTTTAGTAAAGAAAGTGTTTGCAGTGGCCAAGTTTGACGATGGCTGGAAACCAAAAGATGATCCGACGCTAGCTCGGCTGTTGAGCGAGATGGAAAAACGAATTCATCGTTTTAAGAATAGCATTGCTCAGGATCGACGTTTGAAGGAGATTAACCGATGGTTGGAAGAGATGACTGCATTTTCTTTTGTTCCAACGTTGGATCTATCGTCGATACCACCGAAAATAACGGCCGTAGTCTCTTTCATTGGCTCAAGAAACCAGATCTCTACAAGCCTGACAGAAACAGCTATCTCAGCGAAAAAGATTTTGCAAGCCGTGAAAAAAGATACATTAAACGTGCACGAGAAGAGGAAGTTATACTTCCAGCCTCTACTTGACGCAGCCGCAATGTATTTTTTTGCTGTCACTACGCAGCCGGCCAAACTGGCTGACAATGATATGCAAGCCAACAGCCTTTGCGTGCTAGCTGAGTTAAGTGGTGGTCGAGTATCTACTTTAAAGGAGTGTTTGCAGCTTGAAGCGCTGTTATACTCTTTTCGGATGAAGATGTACCATAACCCGACCATGCATCGCAAGTCTGCTGTAAGGTAAGTGTGTTTTTGGCCATTATGTTGTTGGTTCTGCTGACTGGCAATTTCGTATCGTGGCTGCACAGATTTACTTCCGGCCTTCTTGAGCTGTTTCCGCGCTTCACTCAGCCAAAGTTTATCTATCCAACGAAAAAGTGGCTAAGGAGAAGGAGGAATGAGATTTGCGACGGAAGGAATGATGGAAAGTAGCAACACATTTTTTATTTAGGCAAAAACTGCATGTAGACCGTCGTTTGCTGATCAAGTCTGACTCGCAAGTTCTGGTTCCGAACGATATTGCTGGGCACGTTTATCAGTTTGCAGGAGCATCGCAATGTGGTCCAACGAATTTGTGGTCTCGTTAAATGTACCGTGTCATGTAGCCGACAATGCGAGAAAACGGTTATTGAAGGCGCTTTTGACATGAGCTTAATCAATCTGGCGCGAGCGTTATTGCTCGCGCCAGTCATGATCTGACTATCAGTCAGAAATTTTTGCTTCGCAGCCCAGGATCAACTTAAACTTGCTTACATCCCGTGTGCTGCTCCACTATGATGGACAAGTCTCAAAGATTACGGCTTACGAAATCATCATTGTACCCACAACATACTTTTCAGACCACGAAATGTAGCTTGTGGCACGCCAGATGAGTAGACAAACAACAGCAACGTCGAACTTCATTTTATCTTCTCGAGCTACTGCGGCAAACCTTGCATCGATCTTGTTAAGGCATCAGTAATAGCTGAGACTTTAGATTATAAGCTGCCTGTTGTTCCGGCGCTTCGTCGCTCTCCAGCAGCGTTTGCATTGCAGCTGACACGCGCTCTCGCTGGACTACCAGATTTAACGCCACATCCGCGTTGTGTACTGCACGTTTTAACAACGCCACAAGAGTTCCAGCTGCGGCGACACGAATCATCGAGTACTTGCCGTCAGCTACACCAAACGATCCGCAGCAGCTATCGACAAGACGCTCGACAACACTTCTGCTTCCACCAAGCCCCTGGAGAGTTGCACGATTAACAACTGCAGCCAAAGTCTGGAAAATGGCTCTTCGAATACTCCAGGCGGCCAAATGAGGCGATTCTACGCTCGCGCAAAGCCACAACATTGTCTCCACACCCGTCTCGACATCTATGCTATCTGTTGTTTCTTGTGTTGCTGCCAGGGGAGACCACATAAGCGCAAGCGCTTCAAATACGCATTTTATAAGCAGCGGTGGCAACGACGGCTTGGAAGACTCGGAGGACTCCATTTTGTTCCCTGTCATCCACTCAGCAAATGAGTTTCTCAGATACCGCACATTCGACGCACGCAAATTGCATTGACCAGCAGGCAACAATGCAGAAAACTTTCCTAGGTTTACAATTGCGCTCTCGAGATACGCCAAATCTTGGTTCTTCCATGCGCGAGCACATTCTTCAGCAAGAAGCAGCGACAACTTCTCGGTCCATTTACCATCGTTGTCGGTTGCTTCGTTTTCCATTTTTACAGCCGACAAAGAGACAATGGACTCCAAAATTACACCCTTGCCCCTCCAAAGACGGCCTGGCACAGCATTAAGCAGCTCGTTCCAGATGCGTGCAACTTGCTCCATAGAGAGTTTTGAGCGGTACGTGGCGCTCGCGAAAATCGCTTGCAAAGCTCGAGCGGCCTGTCGCCGTGTGTCCCAAGCTGGATGTGCCAAGAGCAGCGCGACAGCATGAAGTACAGCATCCAATGATCTCGTAGAGTAAAGTACCGTGGGTGGTAACTCGTCCAACACAATCATCCACGAGCTTTTGAGAGCGTCTGTAGCAGCAAACTGGCCGATAAACGCGGCGGGGAAGACATGCGTGCAATACCATGTATTACGCAAATCATCGAGCACCACGGTGTCTGCATCTGCGATTGGTGGAACCTTCTTCACAAGCTCCATCGTCGCTAGTGCACTAATTAGCAAAAATCGACTCGTGTATACCTTGAGTGATTTTGATCGGGTACCTTCCGCCGCCTCCGCCTCTTCAATTTCCGTGTCGTGAGAAACAGGACCGACGGTCTTACTGGTAGACATACTAAAGGCGTTGAAAGCGAAAATTCCAGATCGGACGTAGTCACGAACTGAAGCTGCATCGACAAGTGGGCACAAGTATGCGGCAGCTCGACAGTAGCTCTGAACTACTAGTCCATCCGTCAACCCCGAAGTCGCGGCTAAAGTCGAACTACTCCCTTCGACGGAGAAACCTCTGCTTATGCTACCGTATCGACTCTCTTCGTCCCCATACTGATCATTTTCAGCCGCTGTCTTCATGCTCACGTACGGAAGTAGTACACGGCGCAGCAGCAACTCCGCCCCATTGCACTTGCGGAGCTCAAAGGGAAGCTCAGCCGCTAGGGATATTACAAAATTAGCAGTACCCACTCTTGTGTTGAGCCCGACACCAAACTTCAGCAGGTTGGCTACGCCACGAACAAGTTCAGCGACCACGGTAACACAACAGGTAGAACCAGCAAGATCTTTCAGCCGCGCTGTTGCTAATTCCAAAAGTTGGCCAACAGGTCCTGCCTGGCTAATGGAAACACGCAATCGCTCTAGTTGATCTTTCTTTTCCACGTGAAATTGAGCGTACTGCAGCTCTGGCATTTCCAGCGACGACAGGTACTCCAGTAACTTCAACAATAGCGGTGCAAGGCGGTTCTGAATATCAAACGCCTTTAGCGTCTTTACGAGGCGTAACAATACGTCAATGCTCAGTGCGCGGCAGATTGTATTTTTGCTCACGATTCCGTTTCCAACTAAGAAATCTAGCAGTTGAGAACTGCACACTGCATCGCTTGCAGCAATACGCAAACTCGTTTCACCCAGGTAGCGGTACAGCTTTACACCTGCAAGCGCGACCGTCTCTATGACATCATCTACCGCGCGAGATGCAGTAATCCAGAGTCTTACAAAATCTTCCCTTAATTCATCCGCTTCGGCGCCATTGAGCAAATCAATAAGGGCAAGACATGCGGCTTCACGGTACTTGAAATTCCGTGCTTTTTCGAGCCGCGTCAGAGCAAACTGAAATAAGAGGGCCCAATTCGGTCGAAGCACCGTTTTTTCTCCCTTAGCTATAGCAACAGTTGCAGGATCTCCTTTAGCTAATTCCCACAAGCTACCCATGACGGCTGCCACTTTGCCATTTGAATGAAACTTCAGCAGAAACAACCATGGAACGAGCTTTGCTTTTTTGGAGTAGTCGTCTGCCATCCACTGACTGCCAGCTTTGGCGGCGATCGAAGCGCGAAAGCAGTTATCGATCATGACGAAAGAGAACATGCCAGATCTTAGCATCCCTGCAGATGTAGGCAACGTTGGCAATGACCCCCAAATCGGGTCATTAGTGCTCAAGTATAACAACGCATACATGAGTTCCGGATCGCCGACATCAGCTGCAACATTGCTGACTTCTCGATATGCTGCATTTTCAACGATAGATCTTGATGATGGTGAAGGCGCAACAGGTGCAGTTGGTCCATCAACCGCTCTGTCACTGATATCGCCATTTTCATCATCATCAACGGCATCACTTGTAGAAGCAAAAGCTCGAAAACATCGCAGTCGTCGGAATAGGCTTTCGCTGAACTGAGTTCCCATTTCGTCGGTTGGCGAACGTAGTCGCAGATATGCCAGTCCTTTCACCGCACTTTCTTTTGCGACTCCATTCGTGTCGTTCAGCATCGTCACAAAAAACTCGTGTACACTTAAAACTGATTGTGAATACGCGGCAGATCTAAACACGCTATTCCACGACGTTGCAGATACTGGTGTACTTTCATTTCCAGGCGATGGTGTTGTCAGGCCTGCCGCACATATACACAAGAGCCACACCGTGGCGTTCCGGCGTTGTTTGAGTTGTCGAGATCCAGCATACTCCGCTAACACCCGCTCGAAAATTGCGGCAGCACGATTCGATGAAAACGAGTCACGATGCACCGCATAACTCTCCTCTGAATCATGGGTTCCGAGTGCTACGAGCGCTTCACCTACTTTAAATTGCATTTCGGTATCGTTCTCCATCTGTAGATCGAAGAGAGCATTCAGGGCGTCTTCGACGCCACTTGACAAATCCGAAGATATAACACCAGGCAGACCTGATACGGCTCGGCCTAAATTCTCGATTGAGACTTGCTTTATGGCCTCCAACTTTAAACTCAGCTGGTCATCAAATTGGACAGCCTTTAGCTTCCACTCAACCACTAGTCGCAAGTCTACAAGCGTTTTACTTTTGAGCAGACTCCACTCAACACCCACAGAACTCCGCATAAAATTCGTCAGCGTACCACTGAGACCAATTCCATCCAAGGCACTTCTCAGCAACGCCAAATGCTCATTCTGAGCTCTTTCACCTCTCGGATACATCGTAATATCCGAGCCATTTTTTACCGTGTGATGAAGAAGATCAACCATCGTCCGAAAGCACAGCAAAATCAGTTGCATCTCGTCAATGGAAATAGCATCTACCAGGTATTCAGAATCAATGTAGTTCAACGCACTGCCGAGGACATAAAGCACCCCAGACAACTCCTTCGCTGACGCTTTGCTTGATGTCAGCCTGGTCGTGCCAACAACAATGGTATCTGACACGACTTGGCTGATACAGAGCTGTCCAGCTCTGCAGGTGCACATCACAATTGCAGAAATATTCGACAGGAATGTACGGTCTTGGCTAACAGATGCAACGTCGAAAAGTTTTACCACTTGACCGGAAAGTATATCACTCACACTTTTAGCGTCAAATTCACATACTTCCACAAGCGCATTAGCTGTTGTTTCAAAAATTTGAGAAGATCGGGCAGCATCAAACTCATGTTGCTCCGTTGACCTCAAAAGTAAACGCGTAATGAGCTCCACGATGCAGTTCCGCTCGTCCTGTGTGTCACTTCCTTTAGAAGCCTTAAGAATCTCAACACAAAATTGGACACAACGTTCGGCTGCAAAATCAGGCATCTTGGTTGTAAGGTGCTGCGGAAAAGTTGCTTGTAGACTTCGTGCGAGTATACCTGTGGATGGAAATGGCTTGGCGAATAATGCTTTATTGGAAAAGCGCCGGGTATCTTCGTCAGGAACTAACTCCAGTCGCATCACGGCGAAGCGCAACGCAATGTCATCTTTTTCTGGGACAGAAGTAGTCAACAATTCAGCGCACCAAGCAGCTATTGCCCCTCTAACGCGCGCATAATTTTTGCTGAGGTCGAAGAGCTTGGAGCCATTGAGTAGTGCAATCAGTTCTTGAATCACCTTTACCCGCACTTCAGATGTAGCTGCTGCCGCATATGCCTTAGCGAATGATGTAAACGCCTTCAGAGCATCCGCACCCACGCCCGTTCGATCATCTTCCTCCGCAAGACAACACACAAGTAATACCTGGAAAGACTGCTCAGATGTTGAAACAAGTAAGGGAGCACGGTTTGCAAGCACTGATAGTGATTCGTAAACACCCTCACGAAATTCCCGCACAAAATCCGCGCTAGATGCTTCGCTCTTAGTATGAGGGTTCATTAGTAGGCGTAGCAAGGTTGGAAACACTACAGGACCGAGCAGTCCCTCAAGCAACGCAAGCTGGGTATGATGGAATGTCCACTGGCATAATCGCACACTCGCTAGCTTGATTTTGTTTGACATGCTTGGCGGTCGTGACGGGTCAGTGCCAAACATTAACTGGCACAACAGTTGCAGCATCATGGGAAGCACATTCGTTGCTACTGTGGACGCCGAAAGCAGTGTCAGGGTTTGCAAGATACTTCTGTCGGCCAAGCGCGTTCGATTCGCCAGCAAAATTGCATCAGCGCCCTCGAAAGTTCCGGAACTCTGAGCTACTTGACTGCCGAGTACCAACACCATCAAGCGCCGTGCCACATCAGCATCTTCTAACTCTATCTCCTCGTATTTAATCACACGAGATAATTGCTCATCGCTGAAAGTCTTAACTGCATGGTGGAATGAAGCGCTGCCAGCAAGATAAACGGGCAGTTTGAATTTTGTCGGAATTGCCATCTCCTTTACAAGCTTCAAAGCATGGAGTTGGCGTTCGTAAATTGCTTCACGGGTCAGGTCCGATACCTTGACTCGTTCGAGTCGGTCCACTCGTGGCCTCATTAGGCCAAACACCGTTACGTTTGCACTTGTTGAGGACGAAAGCTCATACAGTACCAGATCCAACAAAAAGTCCAGCACCACGTCAACATTGGCGTCGGCCTCGTATACTTTATCCACCACACCACTGACCACCTCGTCTTTCTCTTCTTCTTGATCTACTCTTCCTCCAGTTGCTTCCTTCAAGGTCGGAAAAATAGCAGAGGCACTGACAGGCATGGCACGTACCAATAACCTAAAGAAAATTTCCTGCTGAGTAGCTGAGAATCTTGAAATAGTCTTGACAATTGCTGCCAACACTTTTGTCTGTTGCTCTTTTGACGCAGCGTCGAATCCCAATTCTACATGGAGAGACAAGCAAGAAAGTAAAAAATATTGTAAGAAATACAATATTAAAATGAAAACAATTGCAATAATATATGGATCCCGCACCAATGAAAAAAAGTGCGAGATTGTATGAGAAAACAGAGAGCTCTGTTTGCTGCAGTACTTGGCACAGTGTGTCTAATGGCAGCGTGGGGTGCGTTAGTGCCTGAAGACGCGTCTTGATATGGGAGACCACTTGTAATATCTGTTAACAATTATTTTTATTTACATTAATTTCAATTAATTATTTGAAAACAATTATTGTATTGAAAAATAATTATTGTAAATTCAATACCTTGTCCTTAAGCTGTAATTCGAGCGGTGTTACGAGCGACCGCGGGAAGAGCGAGAGTAGATGAGGTAACAGAGACTGAAGTACTTGCAGCATACGCTCATCATCGACACTCGCGAGGCGAAACAGCACGCGGTCCAGCGCCTCGACGTCCTTCTGCAGATTCGCCATCGTCAGCAGTGCGGAATGATGTGTTAATACATAAAATAAGAGGTTTGTTTTGTTCAAGTAGATACACCTGCTTTTAGTGACTCATAGGTCATTATTGATTACATGTCCATAATAGCTAATTAATGGAGACACTGGAAGCGGCCTGTCGTGTTTATGTGGGGAATTTATTGCCCAAAGTGAAGGAAGTCGATCTTACAAGCAAATTTACGCGTTATGGAACAATCCATAGCGTCTGGATTGCACGTAAAGTATGATTTGATTAGGTTTAGAAGGTTTTGTATAGTCAGTCTTAACGAGTTTGTACAGCCTCCAGGTTTTGCGTTTGTGCGATTTGCGACTCCGGATGAAGCACAACGAGCGGTAAATGCAAGTGGAAATGGAGAGATGAAGATTCTGGGCAAGACTGTGCGGGTGCAGATGGCAGGGGACAAGGAGAAGGAGAGAAAAAGCAGAGGGAGTGAGAGGGAGAGAGAAGTGGACGTGGATCGAGAGAAATGGACGAGGAGCTATAGGGAGAGGACGGAGGATTCGAGTGGATGTAATGAGGGACGGGATCGATGTAGAAGAAGTAGAAGTGGTGGTCGGAGAAGTGAGAATGGTGGGAGATTGAGAAACAGCTGCAGAGAAAGTTCTCGTCGTAGCAGGTCGAGATTGAGAACAAGAAGCTCGAGCAGGTCTAGAGTAAGAGGAGGTCGCAGTCGTAGTCGCAGTCGAAGTCGACGGTAATACGATCAAGGCTCGCTTTGGAGAAACTCTAAGTGCAAATGCTCACGTGCAGCAAGATGACGATGTTTGTGCATGTGCTTCGAAGCGCCAAATGTCGCGACCACACAAGCTGGAATGTCGACATCGACAGCTGCGACATTGTGTGTTCTGAAGAAAGCACTTGTTCACTACTAGCGGTCGTAAACAATAGTGACTTTGCTCTGGGCCGGGATTGACCTAAGAACCTGTGTCCACACCGCGCGCTGTTGTTTCTTCTCCTGCATCACAGTAAATCAGGAGTTGAAGTTGACCCCAGTGCCACCTCAATGCACCATTCCCGTGCGCACCACCGTGCCTGCATCTGAATCAGTTGCTTATCTCAATGCACTGATAGCAAACCTTCAGTCCGCGTCGAGCCTTTGAATGGAATTGATGGCAGGCCGCCGCGTCGAGCATCTTGCCAGCATTACGATGGCCAGAGCTAGGCAGAAAGCTGCTCTGTTTAAAGGTTGAGCAGACGGTTGCGCTGACTAGGCCAGAAAAATGTTCTCTAGCGGTGAGCTCAATGCGGCCAAAGCTTTCTGACACGAGGCGCAGACGCCAATACAATTGCTGCAGATCAAAGCGGAAGTGAAGTGAAGACGCAGGAAAGGCACAAACGTCAAAGCGGGATTACTTGATGAATGGAATGTGCTATATTTATTTGTCGAGCAGTTCCTTGACTTCTTCCATAAAGTTGTCGAATTCGTTGGCCACGGAACTATTACCTGCGAGAGTGGTGGATCTTCGAAGTGGACCAGGAATGACGTCAATTGACGGCATTGTAGGCCGAGGCACGGGAGCTGGAGGACGACATGAAGCGGGGACAGATGAAACACTGCTGCCACGTGCAACACTAGGGGCAGGTACTTGACGCTGGACACGAAGAGCAACAGGAACTAGCGAGCGGAGTTGCGCTCGACTTGCAGCTGCACGCGTAGCAGCCTCCTCGCTCATTTCTTGATCTTCTTCCATGCAGGAGTCGCGAAAGTCAGGCTCGTCCGTTCTTGGATAAGCAGCGACGACGTCATTTCCGTCCATACCAACTTCAGCTTGATTAGACTCCGTCTCCCTATCATTTGCAGCTACGACGGTAGCTGGATAAGGAGAAGGTGGTGGAACTATCCCGCGCGGCTGTTGCAGAAATGGAGGCGGTGGTACCGCTGCACCAGCAATCCGAGTGTGTACAGGTGGCGGAGGAGGCGGCCGTGCTGGAATCGCCCCGCTTGGTAGTGGCGGTCTAGAAGGCACCTGAATCGTCCCTGGAGGCGGAGGTCCACGAGGCAATGGTGGCCGTTTCCCAGGCCGTCTTGCCATTATGCGTGGCTGCTGCATTCGTGCAGGTGATGGCCTTGCCTCAGCTCTCGAACGTGGCAGTTGGTCCCGAAATTTCTGCTGCTGTGGACGTTCCTGTCTTGGATGCCCACAAGCTAAAATTTTAGGTGGACCCATTGGTCCGGACGACGCATTGCGGTACATCTGTGGTTTTCCTGGCGGTGGTGCTCCAAACGGGTTCAACGTCGGGTGGTAGTAGATAGATTTCTGCAGCGTTAACATCATCAAGTGTCAGTAGCTTCAGTCACAACCTCAGTCACTTCCTCTTGTCACCTCTGGGTTCTGGAACTTTTCCTTATTTGCCTCCGTCAACTCCGTTATACTCTAAACACAGCATTTGTTTAGTCTGCAGCTAAAATTGTCATGTAATCAATTGCAGGAGCCTCTCACCATTGGCAGCGGCGGTGGCGCGTCCGCCAGCTTTTTACGTTCTTCTTCTGCCATCTACAGCATGAGAATCGGACAGATTGACCATCAGTCTCTACTCTTTTTCAAAAAGAATTATAATCACCATCTCACCTCCTTTTGCTTCTTAACAACCACCCGTAGCGTGTCCTCTAGCTCCTGTTTACGCTTACGCGTAGGTCCGTCCGTTGGATTAGCAGCTACTTGGCGCTCGAGGTTCTTGAGTTTTTCCTTGAGCTCTGCTGGATCCATAGAGCTAAACTTGACCTCTTTCTCTTTCTTTCGCTCCATTCGGTGCTTTTTCAGCTCCTTTTTCTTCTGCTCGCGACGATACGTCTCCATTGGATTCGTCGACTTGGCCATGTTTGCTTTCTAATGTTATTGTATGGAGATTGAATTAACGAAATGAGATGATAGTGTAGCCATTTCAAACAGTTACATCTTATAGTATATTAGTGTCTTCCCTTCTAAGACCAGCAACGACTGTAGATGTTCCTGTAGCCTTCTTGCACACTATGCACCCTCATGAACCAAGCATAGAGCTAAGATACAATAGAATTGAACAGCAGTGCATGCTTTAACTCGTAGCCAAGAATGCGAATTTAAGCTCACACTTTCGGCAGATCTTCCACCTGCTGTCCACGACACTGGAGTCTCCACCACCTAAACTGATTGTCAACTGCTCGTGCTACGTTAAGCAAAGTGGTTGTTGGTATAAATAATATGCTGGAGCGAGCCAAGTGTAATTGGTGATCTTCAGGCGCGACCGCTTTTGGACTGCAAACTCCGCAAACGACAACTTGGACGCCACTCGTCGCGTCTTTACTACAGCGAGTCTTAGTGTCTAGGCCCATTATCACTTCATAAGTATTGTCTTACTCGGCAGATATGGCAATGAGGCAGTGCATGTTTAATTAAGGTAGGAAGGTCTCCAATAAAGTATTCTTGAAGAGTGAATTTGTAGACCAACATTATCAGTTTTTTACCTACCAGCACCCTAATCTGCAGTTGCTCCTTGCTCGTGTACGAGCAAGAAGCAAGTTGTTTTTTGATGGCTTGGGGTCTGGCAGAATTCAGCCAGTGAAACACCGTATTTCAACAGTGCACATAAGCAGTCAAGCAAGCGATCTCATTACAGAGTGGACGGTCGATGCGGAATAAAACATTTGAATTTGTAAAGTTTGATGTCTTTGATGCTGCATCAGCCAGCTGGAAGAAGAGTGTTTACATGGAGACATTTAACATAATGACGCATATTGTTGATAAGTAAGACTTTGTATCTATCCGGGTACTAGATGTGCTTCCTGCGACCATGCCTGCCTCTCGAAGGGGGTGACCAGCGCGGTGATCGCATCTGTTACCGTCTGCAGCCGTGGTTGGGTTGACACCGGTCCAGTGAGCTGTCCAAGCAACCGGGTCTCAAGGGTCATCGCGACGGGGTCGCTCTCCAGGAACGCGTCCAACTTGCGTTGGGGGTAGACCTTCTGTGACGCCAGCGTGTGACCATGATGACAGTCGTGAATTCTTGGGGCCTGCCCACTTGGTATCACCTGGCGCCTTCATCTGGAACTTTGTCGGCTTGGACTGCGCAATCTTGTTTTTTGTTGTTTCGGGGACCTTAACCTTTCGGTTTTCACCGTCGGCTCATGGTCCTCTGGATCATGATAGGCATCATGACCCAAGGTGTCCTCTACGAGGACATAGGGAGTTTATGTAGGTTCTCTCAATAAGTTCAACCTCGACCATGCTGACTGGGCCCCTCCCAAGGTCCGGTCGGTCCTTCGATCCTTTGTTTGTTTCTTCTTGAGTCACTGGCGATCGGTCTTCCAGTGGCGCTTCGGTCTTGTGCTCCTTCTTGACTTGAACATCTTTATTTTCTATAGACTAGTGGTGAAATTCCGTGTCTTCCGAAGATCCGGGCACGCGCACCATTGTGGCGGAGTGGGTTCTCAAAATTGTATGATGAGATCCCAAACCACTCACTGTGCCGGACTACCGACTGCCGGAGAGGGTACCCCGATGCCGCGTATGAACCTTCTCTCACCTTGTGTACCCGTAGTCTGGCGGGTTGCACTCTTCGGAAGACTTGGGTGAAGTTGTAGGCGTCTGCCTTGAGAGAGGTAGACCTGGGGGGCCTCTAGTGGATATGCTTCACTCGGTGGGCTGGTAGGTGGCCACTCGATCGACCTTGTCGAGAGTGGACTTAGAACCAAACTCTTCAGGGGAGCTTATCCCTGGCCTTTTCCTTCGTGTTTCAGGGGTATTGGCCTTATGGCCTTTACTTTGATCCCGGACCGTGAGGTAAGGGAGGCCGCTTTCGATAGCGGGTCTTGGGGGTGTTGCTACTCGAACAAGCTCACAGGCCAAATATATCCTGGAGCTCTATTCACATTTAACCTTCGCTATACGATTTTTTTCAACGGGAGGTTAAATATATCCTCACCGATACAAGCGAACAGCTTAGAGCAGGTTTCTTAGGGACGACGAGGTTGTGCCACGTAGATCGCAAATTGAGTAATATTTAATATAGTCCTATTCTTTTAATTCCTTAACTCTATCCAGGCCTGAAGCCCTGGATGATTGTGTCGACTATTCTGATCCTTGTGTTGGCTATTCAAAAGTGGCTGAACCTCAGGAGAACCAAGTTTACCGATGAGGGACCGGATCTACCAAGGAGGGCCGGGTCTAATGATGAGAGACCGGGGTCTATCGATAAGGGACCGGGGTCTATATATGAATACAAAGGTCTACGACTGAGGGGACGGGTTCTATCAATGAGGGGCTGGGCTCTACCGTTGAGAGACTAGTTCTACCGAGGAGAGACCGGGGTCTTATGATGAGGGACTAAATCTTTCGAGGAGGGACCGGGATCTAACGAAAAGGAACCGTGATCTTCCTATGAGAGACCAAGGCCTACCACGAATGGGCCTGGGTCTACCCATGAAGAACCGGGGTCTACCATTGAAAGGTTTAATCTTCCAATGAAGTACCGAATCAAATTCTTTCGGTACCCCTCTATTGATACTTTGATTCTGATCTCCCCGTTGCTGGTCCTTTAAATCATTCCCAGCTAACGGGCCTTTACCCCCGAGGCCCCCTTCGGTTCCCTTAACTGGTGAGCGGTCCTTTGTTCCTTTCATCCAGCTAGCCCCTGATTTCTTCACATTTTCGGAAAGCACTTCACCAAAGAATCGTTTCGAGGTGATGCAATCACACGAGGAGGGAAGTCGTGACTAACGACGGTGGGATGTTAGTAGTGGCGAAGATCTGTGAGATGATTACGCATGAAGGTGGAATTAGGTAGCTAGAGTGACTTTAATGATCGAAGATTATCGACCGAATTACTTTTAATCACGGTTACACAATCAAAGGAAGAAAATTAAATTTAAATGCGATCCAAATGGAAAACAAAGAATGGAATAATATGAAAGGATCGCATTAACAATTTACATTAGAGATATTACTCACGAACTACAAACTCATCAGCCAAGCGGTGAATGAAAGATCCGATATGATCTGCAATCGAAGAATGAAAATTGTATCTTTACGGTTCCATCGAGTCGATCATGGAATATGCTGTGATTAAATTTGGGATGTTCATTCGTTGTGTGGCCAATCCTGGATACCACTTATAACCTCGTTCAGACGAGGAAAGTGAAGAAACATGAGATTTTAAACAAAATGTCAATATCACAATGGCCGTCGATCATGCCTTGTAGAATCTTTTGCAATACTTTCTTCCATTTTGTCGATTGCCGTATCTTCGCTCTTTGGCAAGAGTGGATAATGCAGGATAGGATCGACGTAGATCGGAAGAAAGTGGGTCGCTTCACTGAGGGCTTGGCGGTGACGAAGTTCAAATTCATGATACAGATCAATAGATTTCCGAGAATCACCCGGTGCGCCGGAACGATATTGGATCGACCATGGAATCGTATACATTCTAAGGTTGAAGATCATACAATCGATTAATCTTTGAAGAGGTTACCAATCAAAAACAAAAAAATAAGACCAGCGGAGTCGGTGGAGTACGAATTTTTTCATTTAAAATAGGAAAGATATAACTTTTCGGTTTTGAAAGGGGGAAAGAAGATTTCTAATTTAGCTCCAACATACACGTCGAGCCGACCTTTTAAGCCAACCAAAATAATTGTATCCACAGGTGGTCGAGAAACCCGATCACGTATCCGGAAAGCCAATGATCGCGAGAAATAGTGGTGGCTGGAAGATGCATGAATTCATCAGAAGACATCAGCTGGTTGCATGGAATCCGAAGCTCTCTACTGATGCTGTTGAAATTATCGGACGACTCACCAAACAGATCTACCGTGAATATTCGAGGCTGAATACTACGAGGCGATGTAATCGGGATGGGAGTTTCGACCAAACCTTTACAATCGATTGTGCCCGCAATCGGGATCGCGATCGTAATTTCATCCGATCCAACCGACATGGATACAATTACGATCAGATCGACATTGGTACATATATGATTAGGTCGACTTCGCAACCAAGAGCATATTGGAGTGGGCCTTACATCGAGGTCTGATTTTTCGGAAAGAACGTTACGTGATAGAAGACCCTGATATGAAGATAGGCAGTATCGCAGGTTATAGTTTTTGATTGATTAACAATAAAAAGAGTTTTTTTACGTTTAACTACGCACGCAGACTTCTCTTCCGGGCGGGATATTTTTGGCCCCCCCCCCGACGATCAAGAGCTTCTGCCACCATTCCTACAAGTAATATCTCTAGAATGTTTGTTCATAGATTGCAAAATCTCTCACGAAAATACTTCGCCTGCTATTGGACGCAGTATAATGTAAAAGACAAAAAATAAGATCGCGAGACGGCTCAAGTGGTCATGTATAAAGTGTATTAAGTGTATCAAGTGTATCAAGAATCTACATTTTTGTATAAGACGATGTAAAAAGAGATCAGGGCGACTTATATAGAGTGCCCAAGTAACCATTAATCGCGTAAATTTTGCCACGCGATCGACACCCCAACCAACCCCAACCACGGTCAAGTTCAGCATCAACTCAAGTCCATGCTATTCGCCCTACTGACGGGTACACAAGGTGAAGAAAGAACTTCTTAACGCAAAAACGGAAGATCCCTCCCATAGCCAATTTTCTGGGCTCCAGTGGAGAGTCGAGATTCCATCCAGAAGTTTTGTGAAGCCCGCTCGTCCACACGCGCTTGCGGCATTTGTAAAACCACGTCTGCATTCTCTAACTCCATTGGAGTGGCATCCGACTTCTCGGACGACGGCCTGTAATAGACTGTCGCCGAGGCGCTGTTGTAGGATTGCTCCTCACCCATGGCAATGTCAATTGCCTCTTCTATCGTCTTTGGCACCTT